ACACACACACACACACACACACACACACACACACACACACACACACACACACACACTGTATTCCTCAATGACTAGTATCAGAAGAAACAACCCATGGGGAATTTCTCAAGCATCTACAATGACAGTCTCATTCTTGGATTTTTTTTTTAATTGCTCTGCTATTTCAGGATCTGTTTTTAGAACACAAAGTGCTAGGCTTCCCTGTCTTGGGGTGGGGGTGGGGGGGCGAGGTGGGGTGGGGGGAATGCTCTCTTGTCGGTGACAGTGAATCTTCAGGAGAACAGAATCTTGAAATGTTTTCCAGTAAGAGCTAGCTTATCCCACACCACACCACACCTACACACCCCGAAACCACACACCCCACCCCACACACACCCCGTGAGAGCGCGGGGACCCAGCCTGGCGGTTCACAGCACACTTTCATGGAGTTGCCTCTTGCTGTGGAAACTATCCTTTCCACCATCCTGTGTCGCAGCACACCCCGCCCCCTTGGCCCTGCCAAGGACAGATATCAACAGATGATGGCAGCAGTGTCAGCAGCTATGGTCCCTGCTCCGATGCCCTCTGAGGGGAGAGCTTTCCACTGAGGGGACCCTTGGATACTAAGCCTGCTGCCTGGGAGGCCCGCAGAAAGGAGCGGCTTCAGTCACCCTCCAGAAGAAAGCAAGCGTTGCGTTCAGATCGCTTGACCCTACCCTGTAACAGAAAGAACCACGTTTTCAGTGTTTAAAATTAATCAGACCTTTAAAATGCCTTTTGTTTCGTTTTGTTCTAAGACAGGGCCTCTTTATATAGCCCTGGCTGTCCTGGAACTCTCTCTGTAGACCAGGCTGGCCCCAAACTCACAGAGATCCACCTGCTGCTGCCTCCAGAGTGCTGGGATTAAAGGTGTGCGCCACCATACCCGGCTAAACTGCCTCTTTTTAAACTTTAAATGGCTTGGTGGTGGTGCACAGCTATCGGGAGGCTGAGCCTTGACTGTACGGTTAAACCCTGCCTCAAAACAAGCATTTAAACCAGGCGGTGGTGGCGCACGCCTTTAATCCCAGCACTCAGGAAGCAGACACAGATGGATCTCTGTGAGTTCAAGGCCAGCCTGGTCTACAGAGTGAATTCCAGGACAGCCAAAGCTACATAGAGAAATCTTGCATCAGGCAAAGTAAGTAAGTAAATAAATAAATAAGCAAACAAACAAATGAATAAATATTAAAAGTGAGTGGGCAGAGAGATGACTCGGTAGTTAAGAACACTGGCTGCTCTTCCAGAGGACCCGGGTTCAATTCCTAGCACCTTCAGGGCAACTGATGACCATCTGTAACTTCAGTTCCAGGGGATCCATCGCCCTCTTCTGGCCTCCTTGAGCACTGCATGCATGTGGTATACTGATAGACACTGAAGCAAGCGTTGATGCACATAAAATAAAAATAAATAAAATCTCAAGGAAAAATAGAAAGGGCTTAGGATGGATCTCAGTGGCAGCACACTTCCCTTCCTCTCCCACTGAAAAATCTGTTTCCTTTGGCTTCCATGATGGGGCTGGCAACAAGCAGATAATTGCAGTACTTTCTTTGTATAACAGTTCCACAGATATTGCTAGGGGCAGGAAGCTTTTTTTAAAATTAGGATATTTCTATTATTCATTCATTTATTTTCTTCTGCTTGTTAAAAACTTACTTTTTGCAGGGGCTGCCGT